CAGCAAGAAAGGCAAGCCCTACTCACCTTAAACATGCTCATTTCTCCTTTTTCCTCCTGGGGAAAGGCAGAGTCCTAGGAAGAGAGACTGGGAAAGGAGAAAGTCATGGACACTGTTCCAGTCAGTCACTAACTCCTGTGGCTGCTCTGTGTGCAGTGGTAAAGAGGACATGCAGCTTGCTTTGCAGGGCCTGGCATGGATACCAGAGACGCCTCCCTTCTCCCAGTAGTAGTTGGTAAACAACCTGCCCAGCAGCCCACAGTGGCCCCATCACCAGTGTGTCTGCAGCACACAGCAGTAACTCTCATTCAAATTGGGCAAATTGAGACAATACTACATAGAGTTGGCTCTGGAGTTGACACGCATTAGCTGAAATCCTCCCAGGCTGTTCATTAGCATTGTCATCTTGGACAAATCATCAATGTTTCTTTGCCTCCAATCTGTCATCTGCAGGTGGGGCAGAAGAGCACTATCAACCTCATAGGGCTGTTGTAAGGTAGAAAGCTCTCAGAACACTACAGGTTTAGTCTACGCAACTTCAATAAAGCAGAAAATAGTCTATAGTTTGAAGTGATCTTATGATGTGATTTCTACTAAGAGAATATTGTAAGCCACATCGATTCCACAAGTTGTTGCTCTGTCATGTGAGAGTCTCATAACCTCTGAAAAATCTCTGGTTGTTTCCTAATAATTTTAACTCAAAAATCATATTTAAATTATCATAGGCAGCACTGTACAAAGGGTGTATATTATGTGTTTCTTTTAAAGCAAGACATGCCCTTTTTGTGGATATACAAAAGGAAAACTATAAAATCTAACTCTCTGCAACAAAAAAAAGTTTAGCTTATCTCATTTCTTCTCAGTGAAATACAAATTTCAATCAAAATTACAAAAACAAAGTTTGAAAGAAGACAGGATCTGAAAAAGTACATTGTTATTAATAAATGAATACATGAGAAATAAATTGGTGACACAAGAAATTTCCTCCTACAGAAATTCATTCCTTCTAATGAATATAGAATGAAAGATAGTTAGAAAGACATTAATGTATGCTCAAATGTTGGTAAAAGTTTGGTGATGAATAACACAGCAACACTGTCCCAAACTAATTGCAAAAGAAAAAAACAGTTACCTGGTACACACCTTAATCCAGAAAACAAAGTTGAGAACATGTTAAGAGAATTCAGTAATTGGATATTTGCTTCATATGACATACTGAGAAGTATTCCTGGCCATTCCTGAGATGTCCCTACTTGTAATGAAGATCAGGAATCTAATTATGAACCAATATCAGATAAACCAAAAAAGAGTAATTGTACAAAATAATTTGCAAATGCTCTTCAAAATATCAAGCATTTAAAAAAATCTGAGGAACCATTTTAGACTGAAGAGATAAATGAAACAAGAACTAAGCGCAATGCGCTAGTTAGGACACCTAACTAAAAAGGAAAAGTTTCTCTCAAATACTTTACTGAATAGGTGGAATATGTAAAGGCTGTGATTACAAAATCTTCAATCCTTTGGAGCAACTTTCACTAAGCTTGCTCTCAAATGGATTTGGAATAAAAAAACTTATATAAATGAAACTTTGCCAAGAATAGGATTCTAGACAATTCCCCATGTTTAAGGAGAAAATACCAAACAGATTAATGAACGCAGGTGCTAGTTGCAATTCTGTCTGGATTCTAAGCCAGCCTTGTCTCCTGCTAGTTGAATGCTACCACTAATCACTTATTCTATGACTCAAATTCCTCTTTAAAATTGGAAACATCGATGTTTCTTCACAGTTATTGTATGACAAGATGTACTCAAATTTGCACATTCCTCTTAAGTGACTTGAGTACAGGTCCTCGCTTTCTCCAATTTATTTGAGTATTTAAGCCAACTCACAAGTCCTACTACATGGAGGTCTGTGGCCTCTTCCTCGCTGTAGTGCTTTTTGGGAAGAAGTCGGGGATGGCGAAGGAAAAGAAGATGTAAAAAAACCGAATAGTGTTTCCATTCCCAGTAAGTCACAGTGACGTCCCTTGGTACCAGCTAGAAGCAGCCTCTCCTCCAAAACCAAGGTCAAAAGAAGTGTAGACCAATTCAGTTTCCTGGGCTCACAGAGGTTCACAGCAAAACGGGTGCGTCTCAGAGAATAGCAGTATTAATAACTACAATCCGAGTACCCGGATTCTAAACTTTTATAACTTGCACTATCTCCGTTATCTCTCCAAGATATCAGATTAGGAAAGTGTCACTTTGCTTTCCCTTTTTTTTTTTTATTAAAAAGTTTATTTTTACATCATTTTTCACATTTTTTTTTTCATCTCAATTGTAATCCCCATGGGTTTCCCATCACCAAATCACCCCTGTGCCACCACCATAGTCCCGTGCATTTCCCTCCCCCCCCCCCCCCCCCTTGCTTTCCCTTTTACAAGAGTACGCGAAGCCACAGAGTTGAGTACCTCGCCCACCTTGAAGCCGGCTTCATGCAGGTGAGCGAGTCAGGGTTAAGGGTGCACAGAACCCCGGGAACCTCCCACCCGCGAAGCACTACCCGACCCCGCCCCCGCGGATGCACCAGAGCAAAGAAGGAAACGAGTCGCCACCCGGCCCTCAAACCTCCGCTGACAGCCGCTCCTCCTCTCTCTCCTCAAAGGAAGGGCCAAGACCGTTGGCTTTTGGCCCCGGGCGCCTTTCGGGAAAGTGCGAAAGGGTCGTGAACACCCGACCTGACTCACCTCCACCCAAGGAAAGATGACTGCCTCGCTGTCCCCCGGGGGCGGAAGTGCCTGCGACTCCCCGGCGCGCCTGGACTACATTTCCCAGAATTCCTCGACATCGCTCCCCGGCAACGCAGTGCCTGAGCGCACTGGGACCTACGCTCCCAAGAAAGCCGCGGGAAACTTGAACTGCAGTCTGTACTGCAGCCGCAGTACCTGCCACCACACCGGGCTCCCGAGTTCTGGTCCCCGAAGGGAAGGCAGTAAAGGGAAAACCGGCGTCAGCACTGCTCTTCTGCGTTACACGTCCCGAACCTGCGGGTGAACATCGACGCAGCCGCCCCGCTTAATACCGGAATGCCCAACCCCGGAGCTACTGTTTTCACTTTCAGGTGTCCCCGAGGTCCCAGGCAAAAGTCTTGCCATTCCAGCTTGTCGGCCTTAGGGAGTGTAGATTCTGCTTTTGGAATAGCGGAAACTGAATAGTACTTTAGACATTTCCAGAAACTAAGCAACATATGTTCATTGCCTACCAGCTTCTTCCCGGTAAAAACAGGGAACTTCTTCGAAGGAGTAAGAGCAAGAGAGAACTTGACCTTCTTTGTAAGGACTGAAACCTAAAGTCAAATCTGAAAACTACGGTTTGAAATTGCTTAAAAATGAACATATTTTCTTAACACTCGCCCTTGCAGAAGCAAAAGAAAATGGTTGTTTTTACATCATTACTAATATATTTTTGTCTTGGCATTTTCCTGTAATGAGATCTCCTTTCCCTCTCTTTTTCTTTGCTTCTTTATTCATATTCCATTATAATCATTATTTAGTTTGATGCTCAACTCAGCTCTTCCCAGTAAAGTTGTAACTAAGCTGGATCTTTTTACATATTACAACACTTTCCTAATTTCTGGTACAGCATATCAACCCTGACAGTAGGCAAGTCTGGAACTAAAACAGAAAAATCCAGAGACCAGAAATGAACATGGAGGTCAAGTTTGTGGTGAAAAGTAGTAAATGCAACCCCAGCCCACAGAAGCTAGGGGAAACCAGTAGAGAACTAGGAAATTCTGAGGATGGATAATAATCAGGAACACTGGGACACGAGCCAGCTCTTTTCTCTTGACTATGAACAAAGAACAAAATCCACATAGTGCTATCCAGTGTTATGGATATCCTGTGTCTAATATGGAGCTCAGGTCCCTCAGGAGGGTAGATAGAAACCAAAAATCATAAATGAATTTTTTTTAATTGTAGGGACAGCAAAATCATTTTAGCTAAATCTACTGAATTTTCTTCAATAAACTTCTTCCCTCTTCCGCCATCATGCTGGAACCTCTCTTCAATAAACTTAAGGAAATGATGACCTCTTAAAAAAAAAAAACACCAGATTTCTGATGCACATATACAGGAATTTAACACAAGTCTGAAATCACTATCTTTAGCAATGCAAGGCTAGCTGCTGACTGATAACAGGGGATTTACTGGGGAGGATTCCCATAATGATGCCCTAAATAATGTACAATGTGATTTTTGCTGACTATATAATATTTTCTGGGGGTAATTTTTTGGTACAGGCTATATGTGACCAATCCTCACAGGCAATGCGTCTCTAGTGGGTTTTTCTGGTAGACATTTCACATGTGGTATCACAATTAAATGCTGAAGGAGTTTAGTACATGGTATGATTTTATAGACATTGTGGAAACTTACACTTGAGTTCCTCTAAACTTCCTATGTACCTTTCCCCTTTTGCTCATCTTACTTTATTTTTCTTCCTTGTAACAAATCATAGTCATGAATAGACCTATGTGAAAAATAGACAAAAATCTTATTTAAATGAAGTCAGAGGCTAGAAAAGTGTGCCCATGCATACTTAGTGATCTTGTATGACTAGAGAACAACCTATATTAAGTGATCTTAACTGCAAGAAACAATTATGTAGCACTTTTTCAAATTCTGTAATCATTTATGCTTTGGTAATACTCAATTTTCAATGAAACACCAAAGCATAACTCATAAAATTAAAAAAGGAGAAAAAACACAAAATGATCCTTACCAAGGAAAACACTACAGAAAAGTAGCTCTTTACATATTATTTTTTTTTGTATGTACAAAGATTTTTGAATTTTACTATGCTATGAAGGGTACAATGCATGATCTTTCAAAGTCCATATTATGTATTTCACCTAATAGCTAGCTAGCTGCCACTTTAAAGGCTTCAGGTCAAAACTCAAAATTCTTACAGATAAATACTTTTTCCATTAAAAGAAATTCAGACATTGATAGAAGGTTCACTTTAGGTTCTTAATCTCATAAACTGCAATTATATAATTTGCAGATCAAAGAGATATATAACATCTATCCTGATATTTCCAAGACTATGCTTTATTTACTGCTCTCAGTTGGGGAAAGCATATAAATGTCAATCTTGCTTCAAAATACATGATATAATTGTTTAATTCCCTTAATTTTTGCGTGTGTGTTTGTTTCATGAGTGTGGAGAAGAATATGGCACAGCCCCTGAAAATTTTTGATAAATGCTATATGGAAACAATCTTCTTATATTACCAAGGAATTCTCTGCATTTCAACAAGAGTACACTACCCCAACTTAATTTTATTTTCCAGGTTTCCTCATTGAATACAATGTTCATAGAGTATGCATTTCCTCCTTTTGGTTATTTAACAAATAATACCCAGCAACCTACATGTGGGAGTCAATCTTTAGGTTGTAGATAAGTCCCTGCCCTTATGGAGCTTAAATTCGAGTGGACATCATTAAACTTCAGTTAAAGGACAGCTCAAATTCTTTTCCTTTCTAGATAACTATCTTGTAAGTGGCATCTGATAATATCAAAGTTCTGACTAAAGCCCTATGGTACTACTTGGAAAGGTTCTCCACTGTGTGGTCTTGTGAAAATAAAAGGTTTGTGCACAATTTTTTAAAAAACCATCATTTTGTAGAATTGTTTTCCTCTGATGACTTTTTGAAGTTCTTACCATTTTGACCATTTTCATAAAATGTATCACCAGGATGAATTTTGTGATGACTTACAAGATTTGATCTCCAGCTAAAGCTCTTACCACATATCTCACATTTATAAGGTTTCTCCCCTGTGTGAACTCTTCTATGATACTGAAGTTGTGAAGACCGACTGAAAACTTTACTGCACATATCACACTTATACGGTTTCTCCCCTGTGTGAACATTCTGATGAAGCTGAAGACTTGAGGCCTGGCTGAAATGCTTGCCACATTCCCCACACTTATATGGTTTCTCTCCTGTGTGAACCCTCTGATGCATGTCAAGGTTCAAGCTCCACTTGAAGCCCTTCCCACACTTCTCACACTTGTATGGCTTTTCCCCAATATGGACTTTTTGATGGGCTTGAAGATGTGAACTCCGACTAAAAGTCTTCCCACACTCTTCACATTTGAATGGTTTTTCTCCACTGTGAACTCTTTGATGGGTTAGAAGATGTGAGGCTTGACTAAAGACCTTCCCACACTCCTCACAATTATATGGTTTCTCTCCTGTGTGGATTCTGCAATGAATTTTAAGATCTGCTCTACGACTGAATCCCTTTCCACAATCTTCACATTTGTATGGTTTCTCACCAGTGTGGATCAGTTGGTGAATCTGAAGTCGGGACCTCTGATTGAAGCTCTGCCCACACTCTTCACACTTGTAAGGTTTCCCTACAGTGTGGGCTTTCAGATGAATTTTAAGATATGAACTCTGACGGAAGCCTTTCCCACACACCTCACATTTGTAGGGTTTCTCTCCTGTGTGCACCACTAGATGGACTTGATAATGGATTTTCATCCTGAAGCTCTTCCCACATTCATCACATTTGTATGGTTTCTCTCCTGTGTGGACTCCTTGATGGGTTTGAAAACTTGAACTGTAAACAAAGCCCTTACCACAAACATTACATATATATGGCTTCTCTCCAGTGTGGATTCTCCGATGGGCCTGAAATTGTGAAGGCTGAATGAAGCATTTACCACATTCCTCACATTTATAAGGTTTCTCACCTGTGTGAACCCTCTGATGAATATGAAGATTTGAACTACAAGTAAAACACTTTCCACAGTCTTCACATTTGTATGGTTTCTCTCCTGTGTGGATCATGCAATGATTATTAAGTGCTGATCTGCGACGGAAGTTCTTACCACATATATCACACTTGAATGGTTTCTCCCCAGTGTGGATTCTTTGATGTTCCTGAAGATGAGAAGCATGAATGAAGGTCCTTCCACATTCTTCACAATTATAAGGTTTATCTCCTGTGTGGAGTTTACAGTGAACAGTAAGTGTTGATCTACGACTGAAGCCTTTCCCACACTGCTCACATTTGAATGGTTTCTCTACAGTGTGAACTTTCTGATGAGTTTGTAAGTGTGAATTTTGACTGAATTCCTTCCCACACTCATCACACTTAAAGCGTTTTTCTCCCAAGTGAACTCTCTGATGAATTTGAAGAGCTGAGCTATAACAGAAGTTTTTTCCACACTCACCACATGTATGAGACTTCTCTCTTGAGTGTACTTGTTGATGAAGATCAAAGCTAGGGCCATCACTACAGGTTTTTTTACATTTGTTATACTGACAAGGTTTTTGGTGTATCTGAGCTACAGATAGTCTTACCCCAACTTGGCAGGAAGAATCATCTTGTCTGTGGAAATGAGAACTTTTTATCATGGAGTCTTGGCACTTGGCTAAGTCACTTGCAATTTGTTCCCAGATCTGCCACCAGGAAAGTTCTTCATATGGTTCTGCTTCATATGATTCTGAAAGAGTTTCCATCTCACATTCAATCTTCCCTCCTATAAGAAAAGAAAATTCAAAGACATGGATAAGTGAAGACTTTATTCAGTACTCCCAAGATTCCACTTTTAGTGGAGAGCTAGAGACATTAATAAATCTAGGGGCTATTCAGGTTTCCTTTTCCATTGTGTATGTTTCTGAATTGCTTGTTTATAGAAGTCAAAAGGTGGCCCACCTGGCTCTTTATGCCTCTACACATACAGAAATCCATTAGTCCATACCAAGTCCGCAGTGTGAAGTGAAGGTTAGAAAACCCTAAAATATTTTTTAATAATAAAAAAATACAAAAAGGGGGGAAAAGGAACAAAAAGAAATCATTATTTTTTCTAATTTGAAAAGTAAAAATTGATATGATGATTTAACCATTAACTTCTGACCATTTCTACTGAATTTAATATTGGCATAGAATCTTAATAAATTACAGCTAATAAATAATGCAGCCATAAAAATTATGTAGATATTAAAAGAGGAATCAGAATTTTAAGGGAAAGTAATAACATAAACAAACACTTTGCATTCTGGCCTCACATTTTATATAGATACACACACTCTAGTCCAAATATCTTAAAGTATCAAATATCAAATATTTTGACTATATATTCAAAGTATTCTAGAAGAGTCTACTAAACACTTAATCTTATCTTCTTTCTTTTTACCACTTTGACCCAAAGCTTTATCAGGTGATATGGAGCGTGGGACCCCCTGCTGTTGTGGTCCAGCTTGGGGACTCTGGATGTCCTGTTGCTGGAGAGCGACTTAATCTTATTTTCTTTGAGTAGCACACATTAACTGAATTGGCAACATTCAGAAATCCTTCATGACTTGTTATATAATTTAAATTGAGAAAGGTGTTTTCCAAAAGATTTACCCTTGTTGATAATTTATCTTTATACAAAGATACCTATGTATTTTGAGTTTTTTTTAATAAATTATTAAATTAATATTTAAAAATTATCTTAAAATTCAACCAGAAAACAAAAAACTCCAAAAAATGGGCCAAAAACCTTATCGTATACACACTGGTAGCAGAAGACACACAGCTATCAGTAAGTATATAAAAAGATGCTCCATGTCTTATGTCATCAAGGAAACACCAATCTTAGCAAAAAAAATCTTAGGAAAAAAAAAAAATCTAGAAAACTGACACCACCAAGTGCTGGTTGTAAAGGCATAGCATTAGAATTTCTCATTTGTGCTGGTTAGATGCAAAATAGTGAAAGACAATCTGATGGTTTTTTACAGAATAAAACATATTCTTGCAATATCATCCAGCTATCATGTTCTGTGGTATTTACCAGGAAAAGTTGAAAACTTATCTCTACTTGGAAGCAACCAAAATGACATTTCGTAGGAGAACAGATTTAAAACAACAACAACTGTAGTACATTCACACAGTGGATTATTCAGTGCTAAAAAACAAAGTATGGGCGATCAAGTCATGAAAAGATATAAAGAAGTGTAAGTGCACATTACCTCCTGAACGAAGCCTAGCGAAACACTATATACTGTATAATTCCCACTCTATTACATTCTGGAAAAGACTGACAATGATAAAAACATTAGCACTTGCCAGGGGTTATGGGGTGAGTAGGATGAATAAGAGAAACATGATTTTTAGGGTCATAAGAATACTCTGTATAAAACCACAGTAGTGGATGGATATATGGCATCATATATATGTCCCATTCCACAAAGTATACAACACTAAGAGTTAACCATCATATAAACTATGCTGTAGGTTATGCTGTGTCCATGTAGGTTTATCAACTGCCTCGCACTGTACCACCCTGGTGGAGAAATCCTGATAATGGAATAGGCTGTGGTTGTGGGGAGCAGGAAACGTATGGGCTATCTCTGCCTCCCTCTCATTTTTGCTGTGAATCTAAAACTGCTCTAGAAAAAAAGTACTTTTTAAAAAAATAAAACAAAGTATTCAGAAGAAATTTCACAACTGAGATATATACTTCCCTACAAGAAACTGATTAAAAACTGTCTCTTCTGGGGCCTCCCTGGTGATGCAGGGCTTAAAACAGTGCTATCAACTATCACCAATAACTGCAGCATGAGTTCAATCCTGGCCAGCCAGCCAGGGTGCTGCTCAACAGGACACAGCAGATATCTCCTGTCACTCTCACTGCTCCCCTAAGCAGTGTAGTTCAGTTAATTTGCCTGTTCTGTTCCCCACTCTGTCTCTGGAGAATCCTCTCACTCCCTGCACCTCTGGCCTATACCCCAGTTTTTATATGCATGAGCAAATAAATCTTCAAGAAAAAAAAAGTTGATTCTACTCTTGAGCCATAAACAGTCTCCCTAAAACTCAGTCTTGGTCATTTTATTGGAGGTACTTCAGGGTAGACCTTACTGGAATGGGAACAAATATCTAATCACATACTGGCTAAAACACCACAAAGCTGGGTGGAACTGAAGATCTTACCGGCAAGTTTTCTTCATGAGAATACCTGGGAAAAAGGTGAACACATAACACAGAAAGAAAAATGTGACACAGTGTGGCAGGAAGAAGTAATGTTGCTATTGTAAGAGTAGAGAAAGGGGGCCACGAGCCATAAAATTCAGGTACCTCCAGAGCTAAAAACACAATGACAGATTCTCCCCTGGAACCTCCAAGAAGAAATGCAACTGTGTTGAAACTACACAGAACATCTATATGGACTCTCATCTGCGTAGTTCTTACCTGACTTCCCCTCTCTTTGGATTCCAGTCTTCATTATGCAAAGATTTTTTTCCATTTCTAAGTGGAATATATCATGTTTGAAGGGGTAAAGCCCTGTGAAAATGCAAAGTCAAATAATTAAAATGAACACAAGAAAGGTACAATTTATTAGAACTTGAATTTCTTCTGTTTATCAATTAAGCAAAAGCAGTACTTTGCATATATTTTTAAAATAACCTACTCAAAAAAAAGATTAATACTTAAGTCTTTGAGACAAATATATATGTATTATAAAAATCTATCTCTATCCCATGTCTATTTTCATTAAACTTCCTTCCATTGGTTCCCACATCACACAACTGACTAGAGTTTTTGCCATATTAATTTCTTACCCAAACCTAAAATTTTCTCCCTTGTTTTAGTTTGCTGAAAATGCTGACACAAAAGTCAGGTTTACACACACAGGTGACCATATCACAACCCCCGACGCCTTGAATATCTGAGGACACAAAGCCAATCCAGGGGACTAACATTTGGTTAAAGAGGATGCCTGTGCTCACCCACAGACACTAGGTTCTTGAAGGTCTCCAGCATCACATCCTGGTACAACTCCCTCTGAGTGGCATCCAGAAGGCCCAGCTCATCCTCTGTGAAGGCCACGGCCACATCCTTGAAAGTCACTGCTTCCTACAACAAACACATACAACCCCGATATTACAAGCAATATTGGAAAGTGGTAGCATGGCATAGAGAGGGGAAGTTGGGAGAGACAATCTGCTCTGACTCCTGAATAATATGTAGACTCCCAGCCTTTCTCCTTCTATCCAACACTGTTGGTCCACAATCTCATCAAAAGTGCTGCAATGGAAAGGAAAGCTGTGTGTGTTACTTGTGTATTGCTTAATAAGCACTGTTAACAACTAGGGAGTTTTCCCTCTTTATAAGTAAACTGCTACACCCTGAACTAATATGGTTTTACTTTTTCCATTAATATTGCCAAATGCTTCTAACAAACACTGAAGGTATTAGTCCCAACAGTGATGGCTAGCACCTGCCTTTCAAGGAGGTGGGGACCAAGTGAGGAGCAGAATTATGTGGAAAGAAACCCAAAGGGCATGGTGGGTCGTGGGATGGAAAACCCCGTCTTTCCTCCCATTTCCTCTTTCACTTAAATGCAACCCTCTCACTCCACATGCCTGGTCTTCTGAGTGAACTCAAGCAGGTTTCTCACTTTTCACAATCCCCTATACTTATACTCAAAAACGATAAAACCAATGACTCCTTTTACAATTCCTCTGTGGTGTCAATGAAGCCCCAGGTCATTTGGGACCAATGGAGTTTAAATTAAGATCCTGTGTGACTTTGATTAAAAAACAGTAACAACACATACAGACCTTTTAGCAGTGATTTAATGTAGAATCTACATATGTTGATTCCAATGATACACACTAAAAATTACATGTCATAAACAACGTCACTTCAGTTAAAAAATATATACAGGCCCTCCCTGGTGGTGCAGTGGGTTAAAGCGCTGAGAAACTAAAGCCACTTCTGCATGAGTTCGATTCCCGCCTGCCCTGGAGGTGACACACAGTGTGGCAGACCTCTCCTGACCCGCCCGCTGCTCCCCTCAGCAGTGTACTTCGTAGATCTGCCTGTTCTGCTCCCCACTCTGTCTCTGGTGAAGCCTCTCGCCACCCCTGAGCCTCTCGCCTGTACCCCAGTTCTGTATACACAAATAAATAAAACTTTAAAAAAATAAAAAATATATATATATACACACAAAGCAGTGTTTCTGTATCAAGCAGCAGTGTGATCCTGAAGCACTGAGGCGCAAAGATGGATTTTCTACCAACAAAATACAGCTCAACTGTGAATACTAGTAAGCTAATCACAAAAAAAGAGTAGCAGGTTTCAGAACTGATTCCTTTGAGAAAAGGTTAAATCAGAGAACTGTTACTTCAGTCTTCCTAAAACAGTAAAGTCCTTGACCTACACTACACATCTATGAATACTATGAACACTATGAATACAGAGTAGTTTAACAAAAAGGTAAAAATTATAATGAGAACATGATACAGGAATTGAAAATGAATATCCAAAAGAAAAAAAAAAACAAATTAAAGCTGTGTCTGCATTGTGAATACAAATACACTGCTATGGATACATATGGTGAAGCAGTAAAAGAAATGTAGAGCAGCTAACTGATGATAAGCAGGGACGTAGTGAAATGGGAGTTCTCATTTCTACTAAGCTTTTCACTTTTATTTGTGAAAAAAAAAAAAAAAAAAAAACAGGATAAAAAAATCCTCAGGCCAAAACCAAGTAAACTTAAAACAGAACAAAACAGGCCCTCCCTGGTGGCGCAGCGGGTTCAAGCACAGCACTGAGAATCTAAAGCCGCTTCTGTATGAGTTCGATTCCCGCCTGCCCCGGAGGTGACCACATGGCGTGGCAGACCTCTCCTGA